GCCATTACTGTAGGACAGGTCTGTTTTCAGCATGCCCATGTGTATATGTTGGACTCTATGGGGTTCAGAATATGGTTGGAGGTGAGGGCAGGATCAGAGGCCAGCAAAACTTTCACGGTTAGCATGGCAAATTGCCAGCCAAGCTCCAAAAAACAGCACTAATAAAGTTGTTTACACTTGTATATCTGTTGTTGTAGAGTGTTTGATTAAGACAGGGTAGACTATTTGTACAACATTAAATGATTGGCTTCTATTATAGCAGTTTTTTGGGTCGAGGGACTCGTGCTGATTAAAGATCAAAGTGATTTGGTAAGCATTATTTGGGAATCAACTGTTTCTGGACAGTTAGCTTGATAGATGTGTCAGACAGATGTTAATTGCTCTTCATTACTCCTACTCTCTTTTCTTCATCAATTAATAAGATAGAATGTCTGCAGTTTATTACAAGTCTGGCATTTGCATTTGGAAGCTGCCAAAGTGCTGAAGCTGTCAAAGCACTGAATTAAACTTAATTAAATCATTCTGAGTCTAAAAAGGCTACAAAAACAAAGCAAATCCATTAGCCATATAGCAAGGTCATTAGTAGTTGCTGACAGCAAAGAAACACACTCCATTAGGTAGGTATGCCCTTTACATCAGAAATAGAATAATAATAAAAATGAATCAAATAAAATTGTTACTGGATCAGATTTAAAATAGGATTCTTAGATAAACTAAAATATATCAATGATATCTCACTTTATAAAAATCTCCATGTACAGACATGTGAAACCAGCATTCACCATCAAAAATTAACCATAGGGATATGAATGTATGAGGGGGGGGCGCATTCTCAGCTATATCTGGAACAGACATCTTTTGATCCCCATCCTGATGCTCCGATCTAAGGCATGTAGTCACTTCTGATCATCAGAGGAGATTTCTTCTGACAGGAATTGGGACACTGATTGAAAGATATCGCAGAATTAATGCCTGCCTTAAACCAGGGCATGGTTTGCTTCCGGTGGTGAATATTTCATATATCCTGACACATATTTTCAGGATGTCACAGTATAAGGAAAAGAAAAAAGGTATGGAGGTCTCCAACAACACTTAAACAAGTCACACACATCACAATATGAATCCAGATGTAATGTCAAGGCATTATTATGGTTTTGACTTATAACTGAATGAATGTTAAACTTCATGCAGGCTGTAAAATGCTGTATAAATAAACATAACAATTGATGACCGGGGACTAATTGAAGGAGAGCATGTGGAGTATTACAATGATATTCAACTCTGATCTCATAAGACTTTTTTAACTTGCATAAACAGGGAAAACAGGAGCAGGAGAGCTAGGAGAATGTGAAATCCTAATCATTGCCAAACAATGATTCTCAACAAAATATGAGACACATTAGATATTCACATATTAAACCCTGTCTGATTAAAAAAACAATTCTTAATCTAATGTGAATTTGATTCTTACAGCTGTTTAACCTTCAATTAAATATATTTGGTCGATTCGAAGATTTGAGAGCTCTACCACAGAAAGTCACAGATTAATGAGCAAAACTGCAGGTCAATTAGCTCTTCACTTGGAAAAACAGGCTTTGAATATTATTGGTCTGATTCCGAACACTATTGCTAGTGAATTTAGGAAAGACACAATCAAACCCCACCATGAATGTTAACATTCAAAGGCTGGGACTCTGACAGTGCTTTCTGCGTTAGTTTGTGAAAAAGGAAAACTATAAATAGAACTTCTTTGTGTTTGTAATACGGGATGAAACTCACAGCCTTTCTCTTAGCTCAGTTCTTTGAGCTCTTTGTGCTCGTTAGCAAAGTGGTGCCTCTCCGATCTTATGTAAGACATCTCCAACGAGTGCACACATGAGTAATAAGGCCAACTTGACATGGAGATGGAGCAACCTCACTGAGCAAAACTAGACTCAATTTTAAAGACTTCATCTATATCAAAGGGAGTGATAGCAGGAAAAAGAAGGGGGACAGCACCACTAGTGAACAATGTGTCAAAGGATATACCGCATTCTTAAATATGGGGACGGACATTGATAAAAAAAAATACAGAAAGGGTTAGCATCTCTTAACAGACAGGAAAATATTAAACATAAGATGCTGGAAAGAATACATAACACACTGATATTATTTGAAAAAGACATTCAGATCCAACATTACCAAGATGAAATAAACAATAAAACAATAATACAAGAGAGAAAGACAGCTGGAGTAAAGGAGAAAGAAGTTATGAGGTGTGCTTTCTTTTTTGGGGTGCCTGTTTTATTTTTTCAAATGTTGATGGGGATTAAGCAGAAAACCTGAGCCAGGGATCAGGCCTCAATAGAGAGGACAAACATTCTGTTGCCCTTTAAATCCTTTTAGGAAACAGAGCTTATGCCAGCGCACACATACACACACACACACACACACACACACACGCTGACTCACTACAGTATGCATGCCCACTCATAACGCAGCATTTTAATATAAAGAAACCATAAGGAGCACATCCTCTTAATGCTATGACATTAAGTCATTCAGTCAAACAATAGAATTGTAGTAACCCTCACCAGCCTGTCAAGTCACGTCGTACGCAATTAGTCTGCATACTGCTAATAAAAGGATTTAAGATTTTTACTCATAACTCCCTTCGCTTCAATAATACACACACACACACACACACACACACACACACACACACACACACACATATTGATACTCGCATGCGTCATTAGATGAGTGCTTGCAGACAGCCAACATGATGATGACAGCGAGTGACACAGAGGTGAGGAACACTATGTAGGGGGTAGGTGACTCAACCAGAGTGTTGCGTGTATATTCTGGTTACGGAATATTCCCACAATTTAACATAAAACTCTTCTAAAACTCTATAGATATTACAAAATGGTTCATTCACTTATTTTATCAGTGTACATTGACACAATTTTAGCCGAGCAAAACTAGACAGGGTTGACACCAAGCCTAAGCATTATCGGCTTTAAGAGGAATAAAAACATAGAGCTAAGGAATTTTAAGAATTGTGTTAAATGTGAGAATAGGACAGTACATTTTGTTGAGTTACCTTGGCCAGTGAAAAATGGGCACAACAGCAGTAGTTCCTCACAAAAATAGTAAATTTGCTTTGCTAATATGCTTAGCTACTGCTTTTGGGACAAATGACGAGTATTTAAACATTAAGATGTCTGTTCACATGGCACAGTTTGAGCCAGCATGGCTTTCCATGCATTTCCATTTCATTCAGCATCCCTTCTCTGGGAGTAGGATGAACTATTTGACAGTACAGCTGTGGCGACAAAGAAAATACACTTATTTTTGCTGCATTTATCAGCTGATTGTATTACATTTATTCAACAGATGCTTTTATCCAATGCAACTTTGAAGTTATATCTACAGGGGAGAACATAGTACTTGTTGTAGTGAAGGAGTTTACGGCAGGCTTTTAGTTCAAAAGGGCTTGACTGTCTTTTGGGAGCAATTATTAGCGACTGAATGGTACAGAGCTCAGCTCTGGTCAAAAGAGAAGTAAAAATCAAACTGTAAGTCCATTTTTCCCGTTAATAAACATGGTTATGTAATCAGTAGTCACAGAATGAGATATTTATACTGTATATGGTCGACTTCAAAAGACGAGAAAGTGTGTCTATGTGGGTGTGCTGCGGTGGAGAGATTGTTTACACCCACAAATGATGATTCTGACTGACCAATTGGAACTGGACAATGTTTCTACATCCTCAGTTCTGATAAATTGATAAAAACGACTCTCAAATTAAGCAAATTATCAGCTTTCCTTAAAAACTTGACAGATTAAGGAAAATGAAAGCAATCTCAAGACTCTAATCTTTACCAGAACTTTGTTATCTCCTGGAAAAAATGGTAATACTCCAGGAAAGGTTAGCAGCTCTTTAAAAATAGGTGGAGTTCAAAGGTTCATTAACAACTTAGTCCCACTCACTGTTACCAGAATCTCCTCAGAGGGACAGGAATACACAGCAGATTAAAACAGACACAAATAACCCCCAAGCAAAGAAAGTAATCAACGCATCAAGCCGGAAGAAAACCACGCGTCAAGGAGACACCATTAAACATCCAGTCACAAATGTCCTTAGATAATATACCTGGATGTAGACTATTATTAACATCTAATGTGTGATGTAAATCACGAGTCATACAGTAAACAAACAGTGGCTGTACTTCACATAGAATAGTAAGCGTATGCAGCATATGTGGTTGTGTTTTTGCCTGCTGTGAGTCTGCTCAACCAAAAGCACTTTTTTGGACTCTTTTACCATAATATACGGATCCTACACCATAGCGTACCATCTGTTCAATGGTACTCTCACAGCCTTGTGTTGGTGCTTTCACCCAAGCAGCATGGGTGATAAGCAGGCTGAAAGGTTTCCACAATGAATGGACGCAGGGAAAAGACCAAGTATGCACGTATTTCTATTCGACAAATTTTACAAGATTAGAAAATAAAGGGATCAGAAAGGAAACTTGTACTCACACAATCATGGTATCATACACACTGGTATGCCTGGTCACAGATGGTGCACACACATATTCAGTTTCAGCGTCAAGTGTCAATTGTTTGAAGCTCTGTGACCATGTGATACCCATGGATACATGGTCAAAAACTCATTTGTCATAGCATGTCTTTCTTCCTTCCACTGTATCGAAGCTGAATAGTAACTGATTTACACTTCAGCATAACTAACATTTCCATATAAGCAGTGGTCAAACCTGCATATTTTGGCATGTGAACCGCTTTATACCATATGGAGTTATATAGGCAATTAAAAGTACTTTGCTAAATGTAAGTGGACGAAATCCACAGATTAAATATCTGGATTATATCTTTACAGTGACCTATTTTAATGAAACTTCTAGAGGAACTGCTATTTATATACAACAGAATGCATAAATTAACTGTAGGTGCAGTGTGCTGAGAGTAGAAGAAGCAGAGGACTTCTTACCTCTCCTAAGTGAGGAGTAGGGTTGAATCCACAAAGATTGCACACTTCCTTCTTGCACTCGGTGCAAAGGCTGTAGTTAGGTGTGTCTGCTGGTCCAATGCTCAGCTCCACATTGCACAGGGGGCAGTTTCCTTTGGCTGCCGGAGCTGGAGCTACTGGAGCTGCTGAAGCCTTTTCTTCCTGCTCCACAGAAATGGTTCTTGGAGGTTTCTTGGCTTTAGCGGGAGGTGTGTCGGGGGCAGAGTCTGAATCTGGAGGAGACCCAGGGCCAGAGAACGGAGAGTCAGGTGGTGAGCCAGGTGCAGAATCTGGTGGCGACCCAGGTGGAGACTCTGGTGCTTTGTCATCCTCTCCAGTGACAAGATTAGAGGCTGAGCTCAAAAGGGACGACCCAAAGCTAAACATTTGAGATGCGGCAGCAGGAGGTTTAGCTGACTCTGTCAAACCTCCAAAACCTCCGAATAACTTCCCAGCCACAGACTCTTCCTGTTTTGATGCAGCTTGAGGCTGAGGCTTTGATGACTCCATCAGCCCACCGAACCCACCAAACAGTTTGCCGGTGACAGACTCGGCAGCTTGGGAAGCAGCTGCAGGAGGCTTGGCTGCGTCCGTGAGGCCGCCTAAGCTTATACCTCCTAGCCCACCAAAGAAGCTGGACTCCTGCTTGGCTTTAGAGGGAGACTGCTGAGGACTGGACCTCTGCTGAATGGGGCGACCCGTCTTGGGGTCGATTTTGGGTGACCCTCCCAGTGATGAGCCAGGGGAGAGAGGTCCCGGGGAGGTAGCACCCGGGGATTTCTGTCGTGGAGTGGTCGGGGGGGTTAATCCGTGGTCAGTGGTGCTCTGCTGCTTTATGAGCAGCTTGCCAGGCTTGCCGGATGCCTGTCGCTGGGGCGAGGGGGGTGCTGAGCCCTGCTTGGGCTTTGTCATACCGGGAGGATCCATCCCTCCCATTGCACGCTGCATTTGACAGTTCAGACATAACCACTCCTTACCCTGTGAACAGCAAAAGACAGTTTAGGGTCATTAAAAAAATTCTAATAAAATCAGCTATATCTATAAATCCCAGGTTCTGTCAAAACGTAACACAAGTAAAACCCTTACACAATCTGGTGGCGACCCAGTTGGAGACCCTTATAAAGACCCACCCACTGTTAGCATTTAAATCATATTGAATATTTTTTTTCTCAGATGGAAAGTTTCTTAGAAAAGTAAAGTAAAGGTGTATATATTTTCCACAATGCCAGTTTATTTTCCCTTTAATTACAGAATAGGTTGTGTGCATGTGGATGATAAATGGTTGCCTTTCATTGTGTTTGTTTGGCCATCCCGCTCACCTGCTCCCCAAAGACCATGACCACACTAAAGAGGTCTTTGTTTTGTGTTTGGCTATCTCCTTGGTTTCCACTGTGTTCAAGGTACAGTGTTAAAAAGGGCCATTGTTGACAGTTTGATTAGTATCTAGAAATGAGCAGGGCCGTATGTGTGTGTGGGTGATGGTACTCATCGCTTTCATTTGTTCAAACAGACCCAACATTTAAACACAATATTTTTCTAAAATGATTTCTCACAACCTATCCAAACTTGCTTCCTGAATTGTCATTACATAACAGACCCCGACACGGCCATACTTAGTAGCGAGCGAGGAAGAAGAAGCTCAAGCAGACGGCATCAGTCACTTTGCTGTGCTATAATCATGGCCCAACAGCGTTTATAGTTCACGTGTGACTGAGTGTCCTCACTAGCTGGCACAGTGTCTTCCTGTGGCCATGATATGAGTCACCTTGATCAACATTCTCTGGGTCCATATGGTCCCTCTGTTCCTCAAACTGTGTGTGCTACTCTTAGGATATGCATTTCCTGTGCCAGGCTCAGAGAATAGCAATATGCTGTTTCCAGGCTTGTGTTGGATTCAGCCTCACTTTTGAAATATACACATATTGTTTTATCTTGATTGCTTAAATCATTAGGGAACTTCTTATTTGTGCTATCATCTCAATTTGATAAGTGTCTTGATGATGTTGATATTAACAAGGGACGATTTAAGTCAGTGAGGTTAACTCTTACAATATATTTTGAAGACAATAAATCAGTAATACATATAATAAACTGTATGTATTGTTCAAACCACTAGATTTAGGATTATCACATCTTTATACACAATTACCCATCAGAAAAAAATCAAACAAAAGCCAGTTTTAAAGAAATGAGTAAAGAGGGCTTACCGCAGAGTCTGGTGGGCTAAAACCACAGAGGCTGCAGACCTGGCTCTTACACTCAGTGCAGTTATTATAATTTGGTGGTTCCTTAGATCCAGTGTTCAGCTGTGTGGTTTTACACAATGGACAGAGTGCGCCTGCAGGCTTTCCAGCTCCTTGCTGACCAGGTCGGGCCCCTGACGCTTGTGGACCCTGATCTTTGGGTCCAGGTTTCCCAGGTCCTTGTTGAACTGGGCCACCTTTCTGCTGTGCTGGTTCCGCCTGGCCAGGTCTGGGTGCCTGTTGCCCTGGTGGCCCTTGGCCTGGTGGCCCTTGACCCTGCCTGGGGCCCTGCCCTGTGGGTCCTTGACCAGGAGGACCTTGACCTGATTTTGGACCTTGACCTGGTGGACCCTGGCCTTGTCTGGGTCCTTGGCCAGGGGGACCTTGGCCTGGTTTAGGCCCCTGACCTGGTGGTCCTTGACCTTGCTTGGGTCCCTGACCAGGTGGTCCTTGGCCAGGAGGTCCTTGACCTGGTTTAGGGCCTTGACCTGGTGGTCCCTGACCTTGCCTGGGTCCCTGACCAGGTGGTCCTTGGCCAGGAGGACC